CATGGTGTATCCCACGACGTATGTCCCGGCAGGACAGGATGGCTCCCCTTTTCCCTGTCTTCCTGTTGAGAAAATTTGAGAGACCAGCTGACCAGATCCATTGTTTGAATTCGGGTGATATGAAGAGAGAGCTCAGAGAGATAGTCAGACTTCAAGAGTCAGAACTGAAGAGCAAACCCACGCATAAAAAAATAATTGAACAATTTGTCTGTAATAATGGAACAACAGCACAGATACCATGCAACCAAGGTTCACTGTCATCAAGGCAGAGTGAGCTTGCTAAAGTTAAGACTTGCATCGGTCAACTCCGCTACTTCCTGAACTTAAAGCTGTACTTTTGTTTCCTGTCTTTTACTACTGGCTGAACTGATTATTCCAGGTGTGCCTGACCTCAGTAGCCATGGTTAGATACACCTGGATTAATCAGTTCAGCCAGTAATGAACGACAGGAAAAGTGATGGCTGCCTTAAGTTCAGGAAGTAGTGGAGTTGTGCAGAGAGCCCATCGGCTAATAATCGGCTATGACCACCACAGCGGTAGAGGGAGCAGGTTGCTGGTGCTAGCTTAGCAGGGGAGCTGAGGAGTATAGCGGTAGATCGGAGAATCCTGCCAAGCAAACAGCTCTGAAGGCAGGGAAGAGCCTTCCATTGGCCTTGGCTTAAGCCCTGCATAGGTTTGATTTTTCAAAACTGTTTCCACCCGCAGACATAGAGTTCAGACCCAAGAGACCCCTTTACCTCCAATTATTTTAAAATTATTTAATTAGATTATTTAAAACCCGATCCCAATTTACAACATATGTCATCTCAAGGCCCTTAAAATAGACAATTCAACCGGATCATCCAATCACATTGGTTCAAAGTTTTCCAAGGAAAAGCAGCTGGTTTTTAAACACATATACCTAATTTTCACATATATGTGAGAAAACTCTCGATGGCCCTTTTCCCACTGGCTGAAAAACCGCTTTAAAACCCATTAAAACCAGGAACAATCAGCTTTTATTGGCAGAGGGAACAGCTCAGTTATGCACATCTACCCGGGTCAAACGAATCTGCAAGCGACAGCGTTAAAAATCGCCTCCGTTAGACCAGCCATTTTCACCAGTGCTAAAGGAGCCAAATGCCGATTGTTAGCGCATCAACCCATGTTTGAAAAACGCACATTAATGCTCTACGTTCAGAGGAAAAGAAGCTTATGAAAACCTGAACCTTTTGCCCTTTTAGACCCTGTTATCCACTCCTGAGATATCCTCCTAAGTCTACTTATAAATTGAGCAAAAACAAAGACATTCTCATGGTTAAGTGGAGGTTTTTGAGGACACAAATGCGGAGATGAGGCAGAGTTGACTTTGTAGATTAAACAAGTTTTTTTCAGGAAACTGAGGCAAAAAAAATAAAAAATAAACTGAAAACCAAAATCTGGGAGAACTTCAAGGAAAAACACACCTGAGGAGCCAGGAAACGACGGAGCAACAAAACGAGAAACCAGGAAACGGTGACTGAACATGAGGTGTATAAATGGGAGACAGAAACAAAGACCTGGCTAATCAGCAGATTGGGAGCAGGTGGGGACAGAGGAGTCTAGAAGGGAGCTAGGGAAAAGGAGACTGCCACAAGAGGGCAGCAGAGGGCAAACAAAAAATGACTAAGAACTCAAAAACAATGAAAAATAATTAGAATAACACAAAATTAAACCAATAAACTAGAAAACACAGAAAGACATGAATGAAAGAATATCTGAAAACTTAAACGGAACTAAAAAGTGCAGAGTCATGACAGGTAGAATAAATAATAAGCCACCAGGGCGCCATGATTCAACCAGAAAGCCTTTCTATTCAACCTTAATGAGCTACCAGCACATGCATTTATAGTCATTTAACTAAACCAATGACAAAATGTGTGTAACAATTTTATGTAAGATGTTCTTTTATGGAGTTATTATTCTGTTTTTATGAAATTTATGCAAAAAAAAAAGGTGTTCTGAAAGGGGAAAATAATTTTTCAAGTAAAATAAATATATTGGTGAGAACAAATTTTCACAGTAAAAACTGATGTTATTTCCAACATCTATGAGAAAAAGTACTAAAATACTTTCTCATAGAATAAATAAAGGCTAAATTGACATTTGAAAAATTGATTTCAAAGGGAAAAAGTTCTCTCAAAAAATTTCAGTTCTCTCAAACTTTTTTTTTAATCAGAGTGAAAACATTTTCTCTCAAAAATAGTTTACTATCTCCAAACTATATGGAGAACTGTTTTTGTTGTGTTTTGGTGAAATGTAAATCATTTTATTCACCCTAGCTCAGATCTAAAAGTAAAAGCTTCCTCTGATTTAATTTAGATTTTTAGATTTGAGAAAAAAATCATGTTTTGTGTCTTTTCATCACTTAATGCAGAACCTGGAAAACCGCAACACAGGGGAGGAGGAGGCCTGCGAGGAGGAGGAGGAAGAAGAGGAAGAGGAGGAGGAAGATGATGAGGATGACGACGAGGAAGAGGTCACTAGCGATGAGTCAGATGACAGCGAGGAGGAAGTGGACGTCCAATTACCCAGGATTCAACGCTCGAGCGAGAAGCCCCAAAGATGGGACAAAACAACAATATGCTATTAAAAAACACACACATTCCCACACACACACACACTACCCCCCCCCCCCCACCCCCAACACACACACATCTGCAACACATCTACAATGAGATCTCACATCAGACAGCAGCAAACAACAACAAAAAGGGACTTTAAAAGATGACATATTGTTGCCCCCTGGTGGCAGTTTAAAGAAATTACACCCAATCAGAGAAATTATTGTCATTCCTGGAGGGAAAATACCTCCCCTGCGTTTCTACAGCGTTCACTGAGAACAGGTTGTATAAACCCACCATTTTTCAAATCGATCCACAAGTTTCACAGTGAGATTTCTAATTTACCCCAGATTTAAAAAAAAAAATGCAAAACAGCCTTTATTTAAGATGAAAAAAAAAAAAAGAAAATGAGACTATTTTTGGTTTGTATACTTATTATTTATCTGTCTTTATTCTAAGCCTGTACGGCTAAGCCAGGTGATTTTACAGAAAAAAAAAAACATATTTTAAATGGTATTTAAAAAAAATTGCAGAAAAAAAAAGATCAATGTTCTGTTTCAGATGTCATGTCGAATTAGCAGCCAGGTCAACTTTCTGGGTTGCTTTCGTTGGGAATGGAAGAGGAGTCCTTGTACATTTTTATACGCTCCCTTCTTGTAAATATCAAGTGTCGTAGGTGACCCCCCCCCCCATCCTTACCTTTATCACCATCCCCTCCTCTCTTCACGTCTACACAGCACACCTTTTCATACTCATGAAAAAACTCTGATCCCTCAGTCTGCTAAACACAACCCACGTCTTCATCATTTTCCACCAGAACGGTTTCACCTTTTTGCTGCTCTGAGCTGGAAATCTGGAGAGAAAGCAGGAACAACTCAGAGGTTCACTGGAAAAAATCTAAATCTAGATAAGTCATTTTTTTTCTTAAAATAAGTGCATTTGCTCTTGGATTGAGGAGGTAAAAGAGACATTTTACCAATGGAACAAGACAATTTACACTTAAAATAAGAAAACACAATTGGTTTGTCTTATTTCAAGTGCATATTATCTAGTTATCTTATTTCAAGAGTAAAAATACTGATTCCCTTGGCTAACCATCTCTTTTACCTACTCAAATTAAAGGTAAATACACTTAATTTAGTATTTTTTTTACTTACTTCTAGATCGTTTTTCCAGTGTTTTCCTTTTAATCTGTTTAATTCAGGACAAAAACATAACAAATTTTGGAATAAGAAAAGTTATTGAATATGCCGGTGAAGGTTGTCAATCATCCAGGTCATAGTCATTCCAAAAAAGAAAAAAAATAAATCCACTGGACTTTGTTTCATTTCAATTCTATTCAGTTTATTTCTATAGCGCCAATTCACAACACATACACTGGAAAAAATGGAAATCTAGATAAGTAATTTTATTCCTAAAATAAGTGCATTCTTTCTTGAATTGAGGAGGTAAGTGAGACACTTTGCCAATGGAACACGACAATTTACGTTCAAAAGAAGAAAAATACAATTTAATTGTCTTATATCAAGTGTATATTATCTGATTACCTTATTTTAAGTGTAAAAATCCTAATTCTATTGGCAAATTGTCTCTTTTAAGGGGAAATATACTTAATTTAAGATATTTTGACTTATTTCTAGATCGTTTTTGCAGTGTATCATCTCAGGTCACTTTCCAGTTCACCAGATCATCCAGTGAGATTGATTCAAAGTTTTCTATCTAAGAAAAACCAGTTAAAGGCAATCCCTCACACTAAGCATGCCTGTAGCGACAGTGGGGAGGAAAAACTCCCTTTTAACAGGAAGAAACCTCCAGCAGAACCATCTGAGCGGCCATCTGCTGAGGCCCACTGGGGTTCAAGGAGAAAGAAGCAGGTATAAAGAAATATACATAAAGAGGCAGACATTTCCAAGTTTGAAGAACTTTCAAAATGTCAGAAATAGTGTTGAGTTCGAGGCTTTATAGAATGGTTTATAAAAACATGCAAATTGAACCTGACGAATGAGTCCACTCCTTTGGAACGGGGGTCGTTCAGGTTCCTTGTTAGTAGTTAATAGTGCTGGAATAACAAAAAGAATGCAACCATTTTTTGAATTTACTTAATCATATTTAGTTACTTTAACACAATTGTTTCTTGTTAGCAGGGAATGACATAAAACAATTGTGTTAATGTAACTAAATGTGATTAAGTAAATGCAAAAAATGGATGCATTCTTTTTTTTCAGTGTATCCTCTTCATGCTGTCTCCATGTCAGCCATAGGTAAGAGGGGAACTCTGAACTGCAGATTAAATATATTTTCATTTCAATGCTTATGGTTTAATTAACTCTCTGAGCTGATTAATTGGACAAAGTGTTTAGAGCTTGAAGTTTTTATAATTACATAAAAGCGACACTAAATGATTCAAAGTTGATATTTTTAGTCATGTTAAACACATTTACCAGAGAGGTGGAGTTTGAAGAGCTTAGCAGCTAAGAAACAAGTTCAGGCTCACTGTTATTTGTTATTTACCCATCAATAAATAAAAAAAAAGTGTCCAGTGGAGTCGGAGTGACGTCCTGTCGTGCTCAGCTCTCACTTTTTTTTACCGAAAGACTTCTCCTCAAACTGCAAAAGTTCAAAACAAAGGAAAACAAAAAAAAAGTTTTTTTACTGAAGCTCAAATAAAAATGAAGTTTCCCTCCAAAATTTGACTAAAGATCTTTTGCTTTTGCTAAAAACATCGACACTGGGAAAATAAAAAAAAGAATTTTAGACACATTATGGTGGAAAAACCTTGGGTCTGTTTAAGTGGACGTGCTGCAGCCTCTGCAGGTATCAGATCAGAAAACACGTTTGTTCAAAGGTCAGAAAAGCAGCGAGGATAAAAGATTATTTAACTTTCCCTAAACAAAACTTTAAAACCTTAAAATGCACCAAGTTGAATTCTGCTGACAGTTTTGACTCCAACTGTTTCTGAGCTGAACATTTGCAGCTCTAGCCTGACACCTGGTGGCCAAATAATAAACTGTCCAATACAAAAAAAATTATTTCCCTCCACATTTCCATCCCAGAAACTGCATTAAATTAATTAAAACAGCTTTAAAACTCTTTCAGAATTTGAATTATATTTAAAATGTAAAACTAAATAAATTGCTCCATCTCTCCTACATTTACTTAAATATCTAGACATGGTCAAAAATCCTTTAGAGTGTCGATTTACAAAGCGTGGAGATCCTAAACATTATCACTATGAGGCATATTTATGTGCTTAAAGCTATAAAAACACCAATAAGAGATACTGATTTCTAAAAATTTATTTTATTTCAGTTTAATTAAGGGGGAAAAAAGTCAGAATCCCGACTTTAACCTCAGAAATCTGACTTTAATCTCATATTTCTGACTTTAATATGATAATTACGACTTTAACCCTCTGAAATAATATAAAAAATCAGTTAACTGTTTATATTTTATTCAGTGGCTCTAATTCCCCTCCATACAGAACCAAATAAATTGGTTCTTGCTGTTTTATTACTATCATATCAATGGTTAATGGATGTTTTAGAAATATTTTATTTGGGTAGGAGTCCATTCTAATAAGTTTTTCTGGTTCAGAGCCATAAAGTTTGGGATCCTCTGCTTTAAAGGGAACTTATTCAAACAGATTCCTGCAGTTTTCTTACGGTTTAATTGGCACAAATATTTAGAGTTGGCCTGAAAATACCCAAAGATGCCATCCAGGTAATCCGTCAGTCTGGCCTTGATGAGCTGCAGTAAAAGCTTTGCTGTTTCATAACCTTTAAACATCAGCAGCATAAAAATCTAAAGTCCTGCTTCCCTTCCAGAGACTTTATAGCCTTCAGAGCTGCAAGCGTCCCTTTCAGAGCCCAGCACTTAGGATGGGGGGGGGGGGATTATGTCTAGAGCTGCAGGGCTACATAAATCCCATTTCATTTGCCTCCTCTTAAATCCACCAAATGGAGAATCTACCTGGTGCAGCTCTAGGAAAAGTGGAAACGAAATGAATAAATCAGATATTTCAGTTGGTCAGAGACCTCAGATGGGAGTCGTTTCACATCCAAGTGAAAAAGGGCATTACTCTTTGACCGCGGACATCCTGTCCGTCTGAACCGACTGATAACAGAGACACCGGAGAACCGTCAGACTAACCTTTGCAGATTGAACCGGTCGATCCGACTCAGCGGCTCTCTCCGTATATTTTGGCCAATGACTGTATGTGTGCCGTAGGCTCTATTGTGTGTCCATGTAAAGCTCTCATATGTTGTTTAGGAGTTCTCCTCATCGGCCTTGAACCCCCCCCGGTCTTGTGATGTCACCCCCTCCCCCACACCCCCACTTGAAACTTTGGTGGTTTTTGCATCGCCCCAAGCCCCGGTGTTGTCCTGACGTTTGTTTTAGAAGAGGACGTTGGAATTAACATTGAAATCTTGTATAACGTGTACATTTGATTTTTCTTTCTTTTTTTTGGACTCTATGTTCTGTTTATTTTTTCATTTGGAATGGTCACTACAGCACTTTCTGTAAATTGGCCAATAATAAAAACTTGTTTTTGAATCAAGCTGTGTGAGCTATAGTTCTTGCGTGTGTGTGAGCGTCTTTATAATGTGTCCCTGGAGAACAACGTTACTTTACTGAATGCATCTGATTAACTACTCTGCAAAAAATTATCTAAAACAAGTTGATATTTCTTGTATTTCACCTTAAGCCCATGTCGCACCTTTTCAATTTATCTAGCGTCTGCCTGACGTCCCAGAACCTCCTGAAACGCTGGCATACGCTGAACTTTCTAAGTATTTTTTAATAGATTTATAACGAGTCCAGAACTTCTGTCCAACTACAGCCTAACTTATGCGTAAAGCACGGCAGCGTAACGCCCATGAAATGATGCACAGGCAGGTGTCCTGGGGGGGCAGCGAGGCTTGGATCATGGTATTGACCTAGGTGCTGTTTACTGCCCACCAAATAAGGGTGTAAATAATAATCGTTTTTTGAGCATAATTTTTGAATTATGCTCAGTATTTGACCGATCCTTGACCTTGCTTGACCGATCCCGGACAAGCCCCCAACGGGAGTGGCGGTCT